CGCGGAAATGAAAGATTCAATGCCACAGGCGACTTCCCCACTAATGACAACCACAGCAACCGTTTTAAATTAAAATGCGAGCGATGGGAGAGTGAGGCACTCCGTCCTTTGTCGTGGAATGCCCAAGATATGATGAGGGAGCCTATTTTCTTCATAGATGACGCTTGCTTCAACATCTTCAAAGCGGAGCACCCTCATAAGACAATGCTTCGATCGAACGTCGCACGAGACGGAATGACTCGATATTCAATCACCTGGAGAATATCGCATGGGCAACTCTTCTTACTTGACAGATCATTTACATTTTGTCCAATGTTATACTTTATTAATCCATCCTACACACACACATCATCTGGCAAAACAATTCTATTTGAGCCACACTGCATGGTCTCAGACAGCACATCACTGGTAAATAGCCCAAATCGATTCATGGAGCAGCCCCGCTGGGCGGACGTTCACGCCAGCCGGGCACGCACTTCCGCCTCGTGTTTCTCGGGAAAGATGACGCACCACCGACGCAGAGAGCAATGGGTGGAAAAGCTCCGTCCGTAATGGTAGTGATGTTTTGACTTTGCTGGTGGATGTAAAGAAAAAACGCTTTTCCCTAGCCTGAATGAATACGAATTTTATTTCAGTACTCCTTGAAACTGCAGAACATTGCATGTGATTTTGAAGCGCCGCGCAGAAAATAGCGCACACTAACACCTGCTTGTCTTCAAGACAGCTGCGCCCAACAGGTAACCACAGGCCCTTTGCTGCTACCTGCAGCAAGCACCACTACCACATTACGCCCAAGGCGACGCAGTAGATCAATACCCACCTTGTCGGCCGCCTACTCAAGAGTGTATACATAACTATGAGAATTTATTGTGTCTTTACGCTTCAATCACCTATTCTTGGCGGCTTCGGCACGGCCGATGGCACGTGCAGTGGCATGTATAGTGTTCTCGTAATAACATACAGACGCGAAGCTCAAATTCGTCGATGTCCCACATCCCACGACAGAAACAGCGTCCGGAAACTTCACAGCGTGTTCTTGCTTCACAATTGCAGTCCCTACGCTGTCAACCACACACGAATACAATGCAGGAGTGCACCACTGTCACCCGTTCACTGAGTGCCCGAGTGTATCTTCTGTAACTCATTAAATGAGTGCCAGAGTGTATCTTCTGTAACCCATTCAATGAGTGCCCGAGTGCATCTTCTGTAACCCATTCAATGAGTGCCAGAGTGTATCTCCTGTAACCCCCTCAATGTGTGACGCAGATCATCACTGTCACCCCTTCACTGAGCACTGTAATGCCCCACTGTCACCTCTTCAATGATCGCCGGAGTGCACCTACCTCTAAATGAGTGCCGCAATGCACCACTGTCACTCCTTCGTGTCGCTGGTTCTTCACGTTGCCTTTCAGCCAGCAACGAACGACAACGACGGCTATGGGAGCTCGTCACCCGCAGTTGTCAGTCCGATCTCCGCGCTAAAGAGCTGGCAATTACACGGAATTGATGCAGTATGCAGCAGACCAGGCACACCAAGACGTAATCAGCCGACGCTGTCAGCCCGGGTACCACTCCCAACAGCGCCGCGGCTAACTGAGCAGCAAAGCGGATGAGGTTGCCTTGCGCCGGCAACCTACTGCCACGGTCAATGCATTCAGCCAGGCCGTCAACGTACGGAGGCGTGCGATACCGCGAACCGGGCCACGGCTTCAGCACCGCCGATGCTAGGTTTGGACGTCGGTGTTGTGTGTACCGACATTCCGCAGCGCTGATGCAGACAGCTGAACCGATCGCGTAAGAAGCCACCGGATCATTCGGGCGGACCTTCATTCCGTGTCTGGCCATCGAGACGTAGCGGACGGGCCTCCTCTATCCCATCGAGACGTAGCGGACCTCCTCTATCCCATCGAGACGCAGCGGACGGGCCTCCTCTATCCCATCGAGACGTAGCGGACGGGCCTCCTGTATCCAGCGTGAGCCGCCGGTCGGCTTTGACTTCCTTGCCATCGAGAAACCGAATCCATCCACCGATTCGCCTGGTCTCAACGGCCTCGCCACCGGCGAGATGCGCAGTGTGCGCTAGAGGATCACCGGAACTATTCGTCTTCTGTTATGGCTGCGTTGCCCCGACCCTGCTAGGTCATGTGAAATGACGTCAATATCACCATCGGACGCGCGGAATTCGGCTTTTCCGCCTCCATAGCATTATTAAGCGACGTACCCTCACGGACACCGGCTCAAGCAGCTACAAGGGGTCACCGAAGGACAAGACAAGCCACCTTGATCACCCTGATCACCCTGAGTCAACAACAGGTCCTCGGTATCGTCGTATTGTAGCATGTCACTGCGTAAATGCTAGAAATAGCACACATCGTCCGGAATCGTGGGACGGGCCCTGCTGGTAAACCTTCGGGGAGCGGCAGACTGGTGTTGAGGCAACAGGGGCCCGCATTTTGACCGCTACACCGTAAGCTACGTGCACTCCACCAGGTGCAGACTTTCGTGGCGATGTGAGTGGCACAATCTCAGGACTTTGCATCGAGAGCCACTTCAAAATCCTTTTAGACCGGTGTACTTCGCCTCCCGCCGATCTGCGTGGAGCGAATATGATAATCTCGGGCTTATCTGCAGCGCTGATGCCGACGCAGCGGCGATGGCTACCGCGGCTCGCGCCAAGACGTCCTGCTCGTGCGGGAGCGCACACTTTTCATTGGTACTCCAGGTGAATATTGCCAGACATCGACTTCGAGAAGTCTTGCCGGTGGATGATTACGAAACCCTCCCTCAAGCCGGTTACACCCGCGGAAATGATACCAGCCGATGATCGCCACCCCACGGAAGCCATCCTCGGTGGGGAAAGCTCCACTCCGGTCCCAGCCGTCAGCGCCTGCCAACCTGGGCCAGGGCACCGTCACCGCAAGTCCCGCGGCCTCGCCTCGCCCCGCAGAGCACGGCACACGTCAGACACGCGCCCCAGGCAGGCGGTACTCACGGGTTGTCGATGCGCGAGTCCATCACGTTGAGAAGATAGTAGTTGATCCCGGTAAAGTAGCGGCGGTGCAGAAAGCGGTCGACCAGCTGGCGCCAGGTGACGTACAGGATCGTCGATATGTAGATGCGCGACCCCTTGACCTGCGGAAGGTCGAAGTGACACTCAGACCGCTGCCACCACAAGCAAGCTGTCGTCTCAGTGACAGCGGTGTGAGAACAGCAGACAGGGGAGGAGGGATGTTCCCAACCAGCTCGAAAGCACTTAGCTCTTAACACGGTAGCAATAGCCTTATTCCTCGGAGAAAGAACAGCAGAATGGAGATATAGATGGGTTGATATTTCGGCAACATTCCTATATCGAAACAATTATATATATATATATATATCTATATCTATATATCTAATCTATCTATCTATCTATATATCTATCTGTATCTATATCTATATCTATATCTATATATATATATATATATATATATATATATAGTATATATATATATATATATCTATATCTATATCTATAGTATACATATATATATATAAGCTTAAAATTACAGAGCCAGAGCCTAAGCTCTTAAAAAACAATGCTGAAGCCGAAACCATCATATTTTCACACGAGGCCAAAGCCAAGGCTGCATCCTACGGCTCGAAGCCGGTACCAGGAGGCCGGAAGGGCACTGGCGCCCCCAAACCCAAAGCCATCAATACACAAAATAGCTTCACGAAGCCGACGCCGAAACCGGCTTCGCCCCCAAAGCCGGCACTGCCGAGCCAACATGTAAACGTTGATGGTGATGAAGTTATCTGCCGCGTGCCGTCAGCAGCCGCGACGTTCGAGAACACCCCGAGACTGCCTAGCGGCCACGGCCAGCGTACGCTACACTTCTATGGCGTGCGACAGAGGCGGGCACACTCACAGAGGAGACGACGAAGACCGGGCCGAGACACTCACGAACGATGGGAGGATCAGGCCTCGGGCTTTGAACGAGGTGAGGATCAAAATTAGTGTAAGCTGTTCAGTGCATTTGCGAGGAACATTATTCCCAAGATAACACGGTAGCGATAGCCTTATTCCTCGGAGAAAGAACAGCAGAATGGAGATATAGATGGGCTGATATTTCGGCAACATTCCTATATCGAAACAATAGCAGAAGCCTTTTTTCAATAAAGGCATGTTGCCGAAACATCAACTCATCTATATCTCCATTCTGCTGTTTTTCAGAGGAATAAGGCTATAACTACTATCTTATCGAGATGAGGAACGGACTAAGACACACACGAACGAGACAAGGGTCGGTCTAAGACATCTGCAAACGAAACGGGGATCAAGCCATGACACTCGCCCACGAGATGGGGATGTAGCCGGGGTACCCAAGAATAAAACGAAGACCAGACGCACAGGATTTCACAACGAGACGTCGGGCTGAGGCACGAACGAGGGTAGATACGAGTGGGCCGAGACACTCACGAACGAAATGACGAGCACTAGGCCGAGACACTCAGCGGTGAGAGTGCCGAAGGCGTTCCAGTCCTTGTCGCCCAACACTTGGTAGTACCGGCTGGGTATGATACCAACCCAATACACCACATACTGTTCTGAAACGATACGACCGAGGAGAAGGGCGATGTTCAAGGGCTAAGATCATTAGTGAACTTAATAGTAACATGAAGCCGACATCTCACGAACTTGTACTTTTCGCCTGGTTGTATAGTCATCCCTAGCATGCTGCATGATAGGTAGAACCTCCCTAAAATCACACATGAGCATCCACTGTTGAGAGAACGATGCTGATCAAGCCAACACCTCTCCCTATCAACCACCGGACCGAGTACGCCCCAGCTCGACAGGAGCCGACACTGGCTGCCGGCGCGCCCACCTGACCCGCTGAAGATGAGCAGCACCACCAGCTGAAAGACGCTGAAGGAGCCGAGGCTGGGGAACATGACCTTGAGCAAGGCCCAGGCGTGGCGGCAGAAGGTGCGGTCCAGGCCGTACCCGCCTTCTTCCGGCGTGCGCTCCTCCTCCGCCGGCGACGCCGGCTGGTCGGCGCTCTTCTGCGCGTCGGCGTCGGTCGGCGCGCCGGCGTCGGTCGGCTCCTCTGGCGGGCACTGCACGCGCATGGTCGCCGCACAGGGAGCCGTTGCTGGCGATGGGTCGCTGCCGGATGGTACGTTGGATCGAATCAGCTTACGTCATGTGGCTGCCAACCACTGCCACGGACGATGGGTCGCTGCCGCATGGTAGGTTGGATCAAATCAGCTTACGTCATGTGGCTGCCAACCACTGCCACTGACGATGGGTCGCTGCCGCATGGTAGGTTGGATCGAATCAGCTTACATCATGTGGCTGCCAACCACTGCCACTGACGATGGGTCGCTGCCGCATGGTAGGTTGGATCGAATCAACTTACGTCATGTGGCTGCCAACCACTGCCACTGACGATGGGTCGCTGCCGGATGATAGGTTGGATCGAATCAGCTTACGTCATGTGCCTGCCACCCACATACTGCTAGCATTCCTTCCTTTTTTGGTGTGTTTGATGCTGTGTGCTCACCATGCCATTACAACACCCATTGTTCAAAGAAAATTTGGCAATAACTAGCTATCTGGATCACGATGGCATTTCAGCACTCAGGTGGCTGGGTATTTTGCAGCTTTTTTAAAAAATCTACCAACATCTCTTATCTGCCACTAATTGATTCAGCATCACCTATCCTGCCCTCTGATGTCAGATGACCTTTGTTGCCACCAATGACACTGGCCCCAGGCCATACCTGTCCAGGACAAATAGAGGGCCCTTAAAGTGACCCCCCCCCCCCCCCTCCTGCCAGGGTCAGTGGATTGGAAGACAATTGCCCTAACCCACTGAGCCCACCAGGAAGGATGAAATGGATGATGGCATAATAATGATACAATAAATCACAATGAAACTCCAGCTAGGCATGTGGATGTCTCCCCCAAGCATGTTTCCACAAAAGACCAGGACAGCAGTGAATGCCTATGTAATAACACCATGGCTTGTGTAGTGGCTGGTCAATATTGAGGTAGCATGTGATACAGACACCTGTCCACATTACAAAGCATACAGATGATTTGGATATGAGCACTATTAACTTCCAAAAATTGGCACTGCTTCCCTTATAACTTAGCATCAGAAGTAAAATTTAGCATGGTGGTTAGGTGGTACACACACCCCCACCTACACAGTAAGGGAGGAGTTGACCAGCATGAGAGACCACCCAACTAAATAATAGCACCAAGAAAGTAGGTATCTGATCCATTTTCACAGAATGCATTGCTTTCAACCAGTTTCTGAACCTGTGCATGGTGTCATTTGACACTGCCCCACAATAATTACTTGAATGTTAGTTGAATGGAACTAAATTTAATGATTCTTCATCACAGAAAAGCAATAATTACAAGATGAAAGGAATGTTGATTCCAGGTTCATCAAGACGCACGGCAAGTTGTTTTAAGTGTGGAGCATTTGGCATTCCTAGCTTACAGCAATTTAATTACTATTAACTTTTGTTTTCTGCAAATTTCCAGCACCTATCATTTTTGGGATCTCTTGCTCCACTACCACCAGGGACTAACACCAGACATCACGTAAGTCCATGATTTGCAGTTGGCAATGCAACATTAGCGCTGATGGGCACCTCTGAGCAATGGCCGGTATTCACGGCGCAGTCCCATCACATCCTGTAGCACGCTGAATGAACTTGCATGTAAGGCGTGCATCATATTTCTAGCATTATTTCATATACAACCAATTTATGAACGCTTCAAATATCTTCATATGCATTTCTGTTTCACGTACTAATAAGTACAGCCATCCTCCAAACAACCTACCCACCTAGATCGCAGCCTCCACCGTAGGCTTGTGGCTGCGCCGATAATGAGGGTAGACGCCGACACTTTAAACTCATTGAACGGTGACGTCATAAAACCGCGAGATCACCGTCATTCGTTGAGATCCCGCTGTGAAACACTTGCTGTTTCCATTTGTAAATGTTTTTAACTATCCACGTCGGAAGAATGACACAAGCTGGAAGCTTGGCCCACAAGATCATGAAGTTGGCTCAAATGCAGGAAAAAGCAACTGAAATCTTATTTTTTATGACGCTCTTCATAGCAAGATCAACACCTCACTGTTGGTCCATGCTTCCCAGACTCCGCTGTAGCTGCGCTGTGCGTCTTATTCCGGCGAGTTCAAGAGAGTGAGTGGAGTGCTTACCATCACTAGTGTCCCTGAGAGTTGACAACAACCTGTCTAAGAGTACCATGAAGAAACGGAATTTTGATTCCGAATGCAAATGCCATTTTCGGATCAATTCTTTGCAAGGTGATGAGACCAGACGGAACCGAATGGCACCAGACTAAGCGGGACCCGGCGGGGCCGACGCGACCAGACTAAAGCAGCTGGACCAAACAAACCAGGCGGGACCGAATGGAGGCGGATGGAACGCCCAGACCTCCGGGCAGAACCAGACGAGGTCACACGTAACCGAATGAAACCGAACGAGAACAGATGGACCAGCCGGGATCCGAAGGGGCCGTGCCGAACCGAACGGGACCAGATGGGACCAGTCGGGCTCCGTTCGGGCCAGTACGGTCCAATTCTGTCCCTTCCAGTTCCTTCCGGTCGCATCCGGTCACGTTCGATTTCGTTTCATCCAGTTTGGTCTCGTCTCGTCCCGTCGGGCCCTATCTGATTCCATCCAATCCTTCCCATTTCCATCCAGTTCTGCACCGTTTGGCCCTGGTCGGTCCTTGTCCTGTCAAATCCTGTCACGTCCTGTCCCGTTCTGTTCTGTCATGTCCTGTTTTGCTTTTTTCCGATCGGGCAATCCTGTCCTGTCCTGCCCTGTCCTTTCCTGTCCCGTCCTGCATCGCAGCGCCCTGTCCTGCTCCTATTGGTCACGTGACACATCCCTTGCCGTCCAATCCCTCCCCATCGCCTCGAGGCCTATCCGGTCCCGTCGAGCTCTCTCCATTCCCACCCAGTCTCGTAGCTCGTCCTGCCCCATCCAATACTACCAGACATCGAACAGTTCCGTCCAGTGCCCTCCAGTCCTACCGAGTCTCATCCGGGTTCATCCGACCCCGTCTGGTCTGATCACGTTTCATCCTGTTACGTCTGGTCCCGATGTGAAGCGTGCGGCTTAAATCGGTCATGTCTGGCCCCGTCCAAATCCACCTGCTCTCGTCCTTTCACATCTGGCCCTGCCTGGTCCGACCCGGTCCCGTCCGGTGTGGTCAGGTCCTTCACGGTGCGGTCCAGTCCCGTCAGGTCCAGCTCTGATCCGTTTCCTTCCGTCCAATCATGTCCGGCGTCGTTCGATCCCGTCTGGTCCCGTCTGGGTCCGTCCGATTTTATTCGGTCCTGTTCGGTTCTGTCCAGTTTCGTCCGGTCCCATCTGGTCCCACACGTTATCGTCCGGTTGCATTAGGTTTTGGTGCTCACTCCCTGACCCGTCTGGTTTAGTCGCGTCCCCTCCGTTTTCTGTCTTGCCTCATGGGTTCCACATCCGGTTCGATTGGTCTGGTTCGGTCCGGTTTCGTCCGGTTCCGTATGATCCTGTTCTGTCCCATCGGATTTTCTCCGGCCATGTTTAGTGTCGTCTGATTCTGTCCGTTTCGGTAAAGTTCCTTCTGGTTCCGTGCGGTCCCGCTGATAAAGTTATGTTACGTTCGGTTCCGTCCGGTCACATTCATAGATATAGTTTTTTATTACGGCTCATCCACGTGGTGGCTGTTCTGCGACTAGTCGTACAAGAAAAAGAACCGACACACATACAGAGGTACTCACATACGGATGCACACACAGCTTCAGTCAATGATTCAACAATTTAAACAGTCAAGATTGCCTGGCGCGAGGGGGCGCGGACGCCCGCCGGAGGCAGTCGGTTCCACACGGCGGCGGCACGGCACGGAAGTGTCGCCGGGTGGCGCTCAGTCGGACGCTTGGCAGATGCAGCGAGCCGACACCGCCCGACACAACCGGGTTTGACGTTGGGAAGACTCGGCGCGCGTTACGAATAGAGCTCGCAGTGCGCGGGGAGATTCGGGGACGCGCAGTGCCCCTGTACACATTCGGGCAGTCCCGGTGGTGCACAAGTTCCGTGACGCTAGCCCAGGCCGAGCGCCTCCAGAACGAGTGAAATGTATTCGCTGCGGTGGACACATTTCCCCATGCTCACATGGGTCTTAACTGGGCAGCTCATATAGACCCCATGTGGCTTCCAGTTTGGCCCCATATTGGCCCCAGGTGGGCTGCCCATGTGGGACCCAGGTGGTTGCCCATGACATGCCCACATGGGACCAGCTATCCCATGCTCAGCTCATGCGGACCTCAGTCCAGCTAGCCGTCCCAAGTTACAAAATAATTGTACATCATGTCGTAAAACCTCAAAGCAATGCCAAAACAATGGCTATTACATAACTGTACATGTGACAACTTTATTGCGCATGTAACAGATTGGCGGCCCATCTGCGCCCCAGATTAAGCCTAGATACCAGCCCACCTGCAGCTAATAATGACATGAACGCAGCTCGCCCACACACGACCCCTGTGGATTCCACCACAGCAAGCACTCTCTCGTCGGAAGTAATCTCTTCTTGTGGATTCCACCACAGCAAGCACTCTCTCGTCGGAAGTAATCTCTTCTTGTGGATTCCACCTCAGCAGGCAGTCTCTCGTCGGAAGTAATCTCTTCTTGGCGTGATAAATTCCGGCGGACAGAACAAGGCAACCAACGTTTCTAGTGCATGCAAAAATATGAAATGATGTGGACACCCCATGCGAGACCCGGCCGAAGCCCAGTTAAAAGCCCACCCAGGGGCGGATCCAGGATTTCATCAAGGGGGATGTCACGCAACACTGTGGGGCCCCCTAGAGTTTGGGGCCCCTCCAAAAAAATATTGTTGCACCCGGCTCATAACATTTTGAGACAGTATATATATATATATATATATATATATATATATATATATATATATATATACCCATATAGCATAGATTCCTAAACCCATCTTACTGTGCGCAGCTCTATACGGCTGGGCGTGCTACGTATGCATATGCATAGAGCTCAGTCATGTTCTACAGATCATGTTAAATCCTTTAATTCTGAGGCTAGGTATTTCGGAACAGCAGACAAAATTAACTCACGTTGGCTGCAAAGAACCAAAGGGACCTCCATTCAAATACGGAGCACCGAAAACCCAGTGCAGAAGGCCCCGAAAGACGGGGTGTACCGGAGCAGATTATCAGATGGCCCCTGCAGGAGCGTACAGCCCTGAATTCAAACACCAAGACCGAATATTCAAGGCTCCCGAACAATCCAGTGTGGCCCACGAGGTGAACAGATGGGGCTCCCGACAAGAGTGTAAGGTCATCCATTCAAATGTCAAGTACCCTAGACATAATGTGGAGGGGCTCCGAATAATCGAGTGTGCCCGAGGAAGTGGGTGGGGTGGGTGGGGCCGCCGACATGAACGTAAGGTTTTCCGTTCAAATATGAAATACTCATGACGCGATGTAAGGGGACTTCGAATGATCCAGTGTGCCAGAGCAGGTTAACATATAGGGCTCCCGCCAGGGGCGTAGGGCCCTCCATTCAAGTAAAAGGTAACCAAAACCCGACGTAGAAGTCCCCCAACAACCAAATGTGTTTGAGCAGCTTATCAGAAGGGACCACAAGAGTGCAAGCCCCTCCATTCAAATAAGAAGTACCCAAAATCCAGCACACAGCCCCCCCCCCCCGAATGACGGAGTATACCCGAGTAGATTATCAGATGACCCCGATAGGAGCGTAGAGCCCAAAATTCAAGCACAAAGACGCAATGTGTGGGGCCCCCGAACAGTCCAGCGTGGCCGAAGAGGCCAACAGAGGAGCCCCGACAAGCACGTGGGCCCCCATTAAAAAAGGACGTACCTAAGACCCAATGTACAGGGCTCTCCAACGATCGAATGCGCCCGAGCAGGTTATCAGATAGGCCGCTGACAAGAGCGTAGGACCCCCATTGAAATAAAAAGTGCCCAAGACCTAGTGTGGAGGGCCCCAGGAGATCAAATGTATCCTAGCAGGCTATCAGATGGCCCCCGACAAAAGTGTAGGGCCCTAAGCAAGTGACAGATAATTGGAAGGGCCCTAGACAAATGCATATGGCCCCTGCACATATCGCAAGTGTGTCCGTAGGTTAATCGAGACCAACGAAAAGGGGCCCCGAGCAGCCGAAAAATTTCCGGCATGTCAACACATATGGCTCCCGGCTGTAGCTCACAGAGCCTTTCTGGCGAATGGAACTAATCCTTTGAATGCCCCTGATTGATAAAAGTGCCCCGGCACTCTAGCAGGAAGGGCCTAGCAACAGTGCAGTGCCCGCCGAGCCAATGCAAAGAAATCAAGGCAACGTGGAAGGCTCCTTAACGATCAGAATGGACCTGGAAGTGGCCAGATAGGTCCCCCGGAAACAGCATGTGCCGGAGATGGTAATGTGGAAGCTGCCGCTCTTTGTGATAGATGGCTTGGTGCCGATCAGCATGATGTCTGTCTTTTTGGGATTCATTCTGAGGCTATTTGACTGGAAACAGTTTTGAAGGCACTGAATGGATTCCTCAACAAGAGCTTTCAGGTCGCACAGAACGACGGCATCGGCAGTAGCGGAGTCAAGGAGTTGGGTGTCATCGGCAAATCATCGGCATCGGTGCCACATCAGGTTCCGTCTGATCCCGTCTGGCTCCGTCTGACCGTGGTCGGTTCCGTCCGGCCCTATCTAACTCCATCAGAAATCGTCCAGTTCCATCCAGTCCCGTCTAGGCTCATGACATTCCATCTGGTCTCATTCAGTCAGGTCTAGCTCCGTCCGGCTCTGTGT